GGCGGTCCCCGGAATACTAAAGAGCCGTTCTCACGCCCTGCGCCCTCCGGGGGCTCCCAGCTGGATGGCACTCGGCCCTTTGAGACCCGAGCGCACAGCTGTTGGGGCCACACCATTTCAGTGGCTCTTGCGGAGCAGTGATTCCAGGCATTTATTTTAAGGGACAAAATAATGATTATAAGGGTAACTCTGATCCCCTCTTCTAGTTCGGAGAAAGAAGTAGGGGCGGGGGCATGGAAAGTCCAGGAAGTCGGCCCAGGCCCCCTCCTACCTCAAGGTCATTTCTGAAACCAACTCTGGGCCTCCGGCTGGTGGCTTCGTTTTCCAGCTCAGCGGAAGGCGAATGATCCTCCCAGGCCCGACGAGAAGGACCGGTCCGTTTCGGAGTCGTCCGAGGAGGAGCCGGCGGTGCTGTCAGAAGGGCTTGGTCTCTGAAAGGAGAAGCATCGGGTTGGTAATACTCTCCCCACTGCAAGGGTCCGTGTGCAAGCGCGACATGGAGACTTAATTTGCGTTTCTGAGCCAGACATCATCACTCATGAGCAGGAGCTGGAATTGCCCTAACATTTTCTTCCATCTCTTTTCAGCCTCTGGACTTCGTGTATTGTATCTATGTCAAGAAGACTGGCTCAGTGTAAATAAGACAGGAAAGACACACACACACACACACACACACACGTGCGCGCGGCAAGAACTTTTGGAATGGCCAATCAAACCACTCACAGCCCCTCCACCCTTTTTTTATCAGGGAGCGTCCGATTTCTGGCCATGAATTTCTCTGCTTTCCCATTTTATTGATATCATGAACTTCTGGAAAATAGGATCCAGAAAGGCAGAACTACAACTCCCTGGAGCAGCGGTCCTTAAACTTTTAAAACAGGGGGCCAGTTCACTGTCCCTCGGACCCAGTTGGAGGGCCGGACTATAGTTTAAAATAAACTATGAACAAATTCCTATGCACACTGCACATATCTTATTTTGAAGTAAAAAGCCAAACTGGGCAAAAATACCCGTGGGTCGGATCCATGTCCTCAGCGAGCCGCATGTGGCCCGCGGGCTGTATGTGGCCCCAGGGCTGTAGTTTGGGATGCTTGCTCTGGAGGATGGCTACCGAGGACACTGAACATCAAACGCATTCTTTTAAGGCTATTGTTCACAGTTGGATTTCTCACTCAATCTTTACTTGGTGCTCATGCTGAATACTTTTAAAAAAATTTAACCCTCTCAGTGCTCATTCTGACCCAAACTATAGAACCTGGGGGAAAAAATCCGTGTTTTACCTTCTCTAACAAAATACTCTGCCGTAGTGTTTGTTGGGACACAAATCCTAAGATTTCCCAAATAGGTACCCAATGTGTGTGTGTGTGTGTGTGTGTGTGTGTGTGTGTGTGTGTGTGTGTCCTCATGAAAACAAGAACAGAGGTAATGTCTCTACTTTGTTGGGAATGGTTGGCTTAAAAGAGGCTGCTGGGAGTGTAGAAAACTCGCTTCAGGGGGCTGGGGCAGTGGAAGCGCCTCAAAGCGAAAGGCAAGTGTCTCTCGACCAGCTGCAGCCCCTGGCTGGCGATGGACTGCCTTGGCACCAGTACAGCTCCATGAAGCAAGAGGGATTCATTTCTTTAACAATAGTTGATGATTCTCCCAAGCAACCCCCAGGAGGCCAGCCAGCAGTAAATATACTTTCAGGAAATTGGCTACCCTTCTTAGGAGCACAAACCAGCCACACATGAAGGGGAGGGGAGTCCCTGGCTGCCCACATGCCAGAGCTTTCAGTACCCTGCATGAGCTCCCTCCACCGCCTGCCACAGCCCTACCTTTCCTTGGTTCAGATTCTCTCTGGGAATGTCACTGAGTCCTGAGATAGCAACTCAAGAATGCACCATATCTGGAAGGCCACCATTAACATAGACTGATTAGTTGGCATGGTGGTTACCAGTTAGGCTGCTAACCTCAAGGTCAGTAGTTCAAAACCACCAGCTGCTCCGAGGGAGACAGATGAGGCTTTCTACTCCCATAAAGAGTTGCAGTTTCAGGAACCCTCAGGGGCAGCTCTACCCTGTCCTATAGGGGCGCTATGAGTTGGAATCAGACTTGATGGACAGTAGTTTCGGTTGGGTTAATTTGGGTTGGGTTAATGAATGGTGCTCTCCCCACTTAAAAAAAAAAAGTATGTAGTGGAATCTGCGCCCTTGTACCTGTGGATGTAATCCACGTGGAAATTAGAGTTCTCCGGCGCTCTGGTGGTATAATGGACAGTAGAACAGAAATCGTAGTTTCCCAAGGCTGCTTTGGTGGTGTTATGAGTTATGCTGCTAACCTCAAGGTGCTTCAAACCCATCAGCCGCTCCATGAGATTGAGCTATGACTGTCTGCTTCCGTTTAAATTTGCAGTCTTGGAAACCCTACGTAGGGTCGCTGGGAGTCCGAAACGAAACGACTCCATGGCAGTGGGAGCAATCTCACAATGGCTTCCAAAATACCAGGCAAGGTCTAAACAAGAAATTGTTCATGAGGTTCTAACGAAGATTGCTTGTTGCTGTGAGGTGCCATCATGTTGGTTCTGACCCACACTACCCAAAGCACAGCAGAACCAAACACTCCCATTCCCGCAGCACCAGCCTCACAATTGTTCCTGTGCCCAAGCCCATTGTTGCCGCCACTGTGGCAAGCCATCTTGTTGAGGGCCTGCCTCTTTTTTCACTGCCCCTCTACTTTACCAAGCATGATGTCCTTCTCCAGGGACTGGTCTCTCCTGACAACACATCTAAAGTATATCGGAAGTCTTGTCATTCTTGTATCTAGGGAGCACGCTGGCCATACAGTTTCTAAGACAGATTTGTTTGCTCTTTTTACCAGAGTAGTTTTACTTTGGACCTAATTCTAAATCAGGAATTATCACCCACCACCCCCCAGAAGGACATTTCCTGAGAATTCCCTAGGGATCCCCTGCTCGATGGTAAGACAAAGAGAATGCTTACATGCTTCTGGAAGCTTCTCCCGTGGACACTGAGGCTCATTGGAGTTTCATATGCTGGCCTTTTCATTCTCACATCTAGGGAGAGAGACAGCCGGTCAAGGTCTAAATGGTCAGCGAGTCTACTGTACCATTGTCTGAAATATACTCAATTCCCAGACCTCAGCTTAGTAAACAGACCCAAAGCTTCCCATCACCACCTCTGTCTCCACCTTGACCTTCTCATGTAGACACGCTTCTTCAGAGCTGCTGTCAAGTGGCAGATATCTCTGTAGAATTTCTGCCTCCTTTTATAGCCCCTCCTTACCTTCCTCACTAAGGGCCCCTGTGGTGTGGTGGGCTACGTGTTGGACTGTAAATCACAAGGTTGGGAGTTAGAAACCACCAGCTGCTCCTCAGGAGAAAGATGAGGCTTTCAACTCCTAAAAAGAGTTGCAGTCTTGATTGATATTGTCAGAATATTATTGTAAGTTTTGCTTACCACCAACTCCCATGGTTTGTGCAGATGGTGTCCAGTAACATAATGATTTATTCTGTACAAGTGAATAATCCAGATATTGTGATATGTAGTTAGCCTACATTTGTTCAATCTCCCTCTCTCAATAGTGTTTTAAAAATTAGTAACATGGGCTAAGCTCCAGGGTGATGATCAATTAGATTCTCCACCGTAAATCAACAACATGACCTTCCTCAATACTCACCCTCCTGAAGTAAGCACAGAAGATGTGGGTGCTATAGCAAAGTGTTGTGAAGAAATTAAATGGTGCTCCACTATCAGAATAGGGTCTGGGGTCTTAAAAGATTTGTTTCCCAAAAAGCAGCCATCTAAGTGAGACATGAACTAAGTCTACATGGAAGAAGCACACCAACATCCGTGATCCAAGGATTGTAAATTATATAATCCAAATTCAGAGGAAGGAATAGTATCAGAGTTAAATTGTGAGATTCTGGTGTGTAAAAGGGTATGGATGACAGTGGAGGCCCAAAGTACATTTGCAGGATCTACTCAGGGAATCAGTCTCCGGTGCGTTCCCTCTGACGGTAATTGAGGGATGGGAATAAACTGGTGATCAGACAGAGAATATTGGAGAGAGAACTAAAGTAGATTAAAGTGACAAATCTGAGTTGAACAGTTAAAACCTTGTCACTTGATGTCCCCTCTGCTATACTTTGGACTTGATCTAGTTTTTAATATTTTCTGTGTTGTTTTCATGTTGGGTTGCTCTCTGTTGTATTCTGTCATTGTGAGTAGCCTTCTGGAATGTTTGTTGTGTGTTTCTGGTATATGAGACCCAGGATAGATGAACCCATAGTGGCAACTAGAATAAAGGGTTCTTGGCAGGTTGTGCCGGGGGGTGGTGGGGGGGTGGCGGTAAAAGGGGAACTGATATCTAGGAGTTCAAAAGGGAAGAAAATGTTTTGAAACTGATTTTGGAAGGAATTTTACAATACTGCGTGATGTGCTTGAACTAATGAATGGTATGATGTCTGGATTGGCTCCTATTAAAACGGTTCGGAGACAAATGAAACAGAGTTACAGTCTTGGAATCACACAGGGCAGTTCTACCCTGTCCTACAGGGTCCCCACGAGTCAAAATTGACTTGATAGCAGGGAGTGAGTGTGTGAGGAACCTTCTTCACTGTTAGGACAGACAGGCACACCAAAACATTGCCATCGAGTTGATTCTCACTCCAGGTGACCCTTTACAGGGTGTTTTAAAACAAACACACAGGAGCAGACCCCTTCCGCTTTCTTCAGAAGGACCACTGGTGGGTTGAGCATCACAGCGAGCAGCCCACTGCCTAACCCAGAGTGCCACCAGGTGGACCACAGGAAGAAGGAGGAGGAAATGCAAAAAGTCTTAAAGTGCTTCAGACTCTGGAAAATGCAAAAACATCAGCTGAAGATCATCATTAAAACAAAGGCAGACATTGGCTAGAACGTGGTGGCTCAGGATGGGACTTACGTGATTTTGCAGAATTTGTGGGTACAACAGAGTCAGCAAAGAGAATTTGATGAGCCTGCAATGAAGAGAGATAAGCAACCAGTCACTTCAACAATAAAACCCCAAACCTAGTTTACTGCAATTCTGATCCACAGCTACCCTAGGACAGAGTAGAGCTGCTCTTTCTGAAGCTGTGTGTCTTTACAGGGACAGACAGCCTCATCTCTCTCCCGGGAAGCTTCATGTGCATGCTGACCTTGTGGTTCACAGCCTGACACGCAACCCACTATGCCACCAGGGCTCCTTTCTACACCAAATGGAAAGCTAATACAATTCCTCTTCCAGGGACGCCCCTCCTCCCCCATCCCTTCATTCAAAGAGCATCTTAATGTTATTATAAGAGTGGTGTTAGATTTGTCATCTGTTGGCTCAGATTCACACAAGGAAATAGATTAATGACTTGACCAGCTTTTT